TACGATGGCGAAATTGCACAAATTACGCTTCGAATTGATTCCGCACCCCCGCCCCCCTCCCCTACTCTCCAGACTTGGCTCCAAGCGACTATTACTTGTTCGCAGACCTAAAAAAGATGCTCGCAGGTAAGAGATTTGGCTCTAATGAGGAAATGATCGTCGAAATAAACGCCTATTTTGAGGCAAAAGATAAATCGTTTTTTAAGAAAGGTATAGAAATGTTAGAGAGGCGCTGGAGTGACTGTATCGCTCTTGATGGAAACTATGTTGAAGAATAAAATTTATTTTTACCAAAAAAAGTTATATTTTCTTTATTAGACCGGGAACTTATCAGCCCACCTATTAAATGGGAAAATATACCTTTGTCCGTTTAAGTCCGACGGCTATTGGCAGCATGGACATTCGCAAGGGCATATAATTGATGCTATCGACAAATTTAGCTCGTCTAACCGTTAGTAAAATTATTTTTGTTCTATTTAAAATTATTTTCGTTTGTAATGTGCTGCCGCTCTCGACTAGATATCTTAAGATAAATTGGGNCAAACCATGGACAGCCGATCTTTAGTGATAATTCCCTAATAGTTTGACGACGATCTGAATCCACCATCGCTCTCAGGATATTATCATATAATTTTTGAGGTCATCCCTTTCGTTCAACATCTTCGAGATTCCTATTTCCAATCTTAAACTTTTTAAACCATCTATGACATTTATTTAGTTTTAGAACTTCGCCGTAAGTGTCGTTAATTTTTTTCACTGCTTCGTTTGCCTTTAATCCTTGATCGAACAAAAATAACATACAATGACGTAAATGTCCTTCTTCTATTGTTGGCCTTGACATCTTTCCNAAATTCCTTGCCTATACACTTTTCCTATGCGATGAAGATGATCCTGAACTGCAAACCATGGACAGCCGATCTTTAGTGATAATTCCCTAATAGTTTGACGACGATCTGAATCCACCATCGCCCTCAGGATATCATTATCTAATTTTTGAGGTCGTCCCTTTCGTTCAACATCTTCGAGATTCCTATTTCCATTTTTAAACTTTTTAAACCATCTATGACACTTGTTTAGTTTTAGAACATCGCCGTAAGTGTCGTTAATTTTTTTCACTGCTTCGTTTGCTTTCAATCCTTGATCGAACAAAAATAGCATACAATGACGTAAATGTCCTTCTTCTATTGTTGACCTTGACATATCTCCTCCTTACTAGAAAAAACATTTTTCAACCAAAAAATAGAATTTACAACCAAGCTTGACCGTAGCAACAAAACTTACGTATTTACTGGACCGTGTCTCTACACAAACTGACTGTNGAAAAAATTTTGATTACTTTTCGGTTTACCTAATACATATGATATTTTTTTATATAATATATATGTATAGATACATAATTCGTTTGTATATGTGTAATTTAAATTACTATATGTAAATTAATTAATGTCTATGTGATGTTTATATAATATTATGTGTAGATACATAATTGGTCTGTATATGTATACTTATTATATGTTCTAATGAATTAATGTATGTAAATAATGTTTAAGAACGCGAGCGTGGCATGGTAGGCAGCGCACTAGTCTATCATGCTAGGAGTCCCGGGTTCAATCCCCGACAGAACCAGAGAAAAATTTTATCACACGTTCGTCGCTCCTCTTCGGTAGTCTGGCAAACCACCAAGAATATTCACATGCCACGAAAACTTCTCTCCAACTGCCGTTCGGAACCGGCGTAAAACTGTAGGTCCCATATGCATCTGTACAATCTGTGTGCGCACCACATGCATACGTAAAGAGAGAGAAGTAGGCCTAGGCCTCAAACGAGGCTGGAGTGCCAGAAAAGGAAAAGAAGAAGAAATAATGTTTAATCAAAATAGGAAATATATTAGGTGTACAACTTTGCTCTCGCCGTTTTTTTT